ACATCAGCTAGATACATCTTCATCCTACTAAAGCTGATGTCTTTACTGCGACTTCAGTCTACTATCCATTCAGAGGCCATGTCTCCCATTAAAACTGGAAGCCAACACGCAGCGCTGCAAATACAAAAACTCATTGTTAACACTTTAGTGTTTGAAACTCTGACTGTTGGGTTCCGGTTTCATTGGGAATATGATCTCAGACAGTGGAAAGGCTCGTTTAGCATCTGGCTCACTAGACAGTTTACAATTTATTTAGGATAGTAGGCTATATGCCTGTGTTAATCCTTTCGATTTGTTACACACAGGAGGTCCAATCTCGCCTTGAATGAATCAACGGATGGCGCTGATACGACGTGTTCCGGTAAGGAGTTCCAATGGTTCACAATTCGATGCGAAAAACGGATCTCCAGACGCAGACGATTCGACCGTGGTTTTTGAACCTTGAGATGATGTCCTCGCAACTGGTTGGTGCTAGAAGGAAGAAATAAATTAGATAAATTAGCTCCAAAATCATTTCTTAGGATACGGTATGCTAGTATTAGGTCACCCCTAAGTCGTCTGTATGACAGTGGAAATAAACCCAGTCGACTTAACCTCTCCTCATATGAGAGGGTTGAGAAACCCTTTATTAGCTTAGTTCCTACTCTTTGCACCCTTTCTAATAAGTCTCCTTCGTATTTGAAACACGGGCTCGCTGCCTGGATCCCATATTCCAAATGAAGTCGGATATAAGTCGGATATAATGTACGAAATATTTCGGTGTCAAAATTCGCAAAAGCCTTGCGTATGGCCCATAATATTCGAAAACCCTTAGTGGCTGCAGCTCTACAGTTTGTTGTTGTTTTCAAGTCATGCTGCACAACCACTCCCAAGTCCTTGTACTCAGTGACCACTGGGAGAGTAATGCCATTCCTTGAGTAATTGTGCACGTGACTATGAGATACATGCATAACTACACTCTTGCTTAAGTTAATCTCCAAGGCCCACTGCTTACACCAATCACTTAACAAGTTTGAATCTTTTGCAATTAAAAGTGTTCTCTGAGCTGGTTGGTTTAGTCGCGAAGCTTTCGTCGTCCTTCCGGACAACATCTTCAGCGCCATATTTAGCACAACGACGAAAGCTTCGCGAATAAACCAACCAGCTCAGAGAACACTTTTAATTGCAAATCATCCACCTGAGCTACAAATCTTCTCTATTATTTCAAAAAGTTTGAGTCTTCCTGCAAAGCAAGTTGATCACTATCATCGTGTAAAGCCCTCCATATCTTGATGTCATCAGCAAACAGTAAGCAGGATGACGTGATATCCGGCTGGCTACCGACCAAAGGACGCGTGTACTGTACGCCAGAAGTCTGCTCCCACCCCCTTTTTTATTGCTGTGAGCGAGACATGGCCATTAAGAGTGGAGGACATGAAAGGTCCGACTAGCTGTCCTTGATTATAGGTGTCTGCCTTCTATCTATCTCCCGTCTTAGGTGGTGGGTGTAATAGGGTGAGTAATATTGAGGATAGGCGTTGGTCGAGTACTAGGTAAAGAGGGGATTGATTGAGTGAGATGCTTAGAACATGTGTTGCTGTGCATGCATGCCTGACTGACAGAGGATGGGGCAGGTTGGAAAAGAGTTAACTGGTGGTGGTCAAACCAAAACATGGATTCATCAGTCAATCAAATACATAACAGTTAGTTTAAGCCATCCAGTCAGTCAGTCACGTAGGGAGGTGTAGACTGGCTTCCTGACTGGTTGGGGTCCTCGGGATGGTAAGAACCAATGAAGGCTAGAGACAACTGGTGATATGGCTGAAAATCGTCTTTCTCGGTGATGGCTGGCGAAGATGCATTCACTCTCTGTCATTTGTCATTGTCATCAAATAAAAATCTATTGATCTTCTGTATTCCTAGTATTCGTTTTTCCTCACTGACACTTTTGTTTGTTATCTCTCTCTCTGTCTCGCTATCTTTTGAATCTCTGTTTACACTCTCCTCTTGCTTTGTATGGTGCATGGAAGGAGTGTGGCGACTTGAACTGGCGGACATCTGCGTAAAGTTCTATGTTGAAACCAGTCAGTCAATGAGAATGCACATATATCCGCTGGCTGATGAGTCCCAAATAAGAAGAAACATACCTTCTGGATTATATTGCTTACTATGACTAACCAATTAGTAATCATAACAGTGTGTACTACTTTTTATTCCGGTGTAGGAGAATTTTACGTTGTTGTCTTGTCATTATTATTATTACGTCACTTTCTTCAACAGAAACTTATAAACACACACACACACACACCTGAAGTCTAAATAATTCAACCTAATAATCCATCAGTCTTCCCTCTATTCTTTTAGTTTAAAACTTGACAAACTGAGTGACATACATCAAACCTGTAAATAGTAGTAATAATAATAATGAACCAGGCCACGCATTTGGGAACTGAACAGAATTTAGAAGTCGGAGGTATACACAAACACTCAGACACACACACCTGCATACATAGAATAAGTTTATAAGGCAATAACTTAATGGTTGGTTGTCACAAATGAAAACTACAAATCCAAAACTTCCGCCAATCTACAGCATGATTATTGAACTTCAGCGGGTTTTTTCAAGTATTGGTTTGGTAGGGATTTTGTTTAATTGCATGGAGGATTTCATCATGAGCTGACATCAGTTAGAGAACCACCGGAAAACCTGGGAGTACTGGACAGCTGTTTCGTCCTAGTTTGGGACTCTTCATCAGTACGCGCCCACCAGTACTCCCAGGTTTTCCAGTGGTTCTCTAACTGATGTCAGCTCATGATGAAATCCTCCATGCAATTAAACAAAATCCCTACCAAACCAATACTCGAAAATTAATCTGATGCTCACTAGTGACTGGCCCTATTCAGGCAGTTAACCTGGGGTTGTAGTGGGAAGCCGTGACCAGTAGGGTACAGCAGGTTGAAGATGAGGCAGTAACTCATCTAAGAACACATTGCGAAATGGTCGCGCCATGTCGTGAATTGGCAGAAGTTAGAATTCAAGGACTATTGGATCGGATCACAGTGGCTCAATGGTCTACGAGCTCGCCTTCAGCGGGTTTGTGTGCTTGTGTGTTTGTGTTTGCAGTGTCTTGACTTCCGGAACACAAAAAGTAGACCATTATCCTTCAAAGCTAAGTTAATATTTATTTTACTTAATACCTTGCTTAATACCTTCACGTGGAGGTGGAAATAAGATCTGTAAGGTTATGTAGTAAGCAAATTACTTACTGCAGCTTAGATTTTCCCGTTGAATTACGTAACTACTTCTCGAAATGTCTTTACCAGCTTAATTTGAGTCTCGTCAACAGGATATTGTCAGCCTGTTAGCAAATGAACGTGAGAATCTTTTATTTTTGTGAGAAAAAAAAATATGCTACTCAGATTTCGCGTTTTGTAGGGATTTTGGTTATTTTCACTATAGATTTTGTCACGAACTATCGAAAATCATGGAACGCTAGTTGGAAAAATCTTCAGAGGTGGTCATCCATAGCCTCACCAGGGATCGAATCAATAACCTTTAGGTTATGTGGTCAATATGTTTGTTAACTATTCAGCTGTTAGGCTGGAATTTTAATAATAATAATAATTTGCTTTATTCCAAAACAGTACTTGTGATACAGAATGGAATTCTCAGCATTTCACTACAGTATTCCATCCAGTTAGTACATTATCAATAAACAAAATTCTACATAGATTAAGGAAAAAAGAGAGAGAGAAAAGGAAAAGAAAGAAAGGAAACGTTGTACCTATAAATGATATGAGTTGGAAAGACGAGATCCAGTTGTACTACTGACCATTAAATAAGTTATAGGTAACACGCCTAATGCTTTCTTTATCACACAGAACACGAGCTAAGTAGAGTATGGCTGAGTTTTTGTACTTGCTAGTGCGAGCATATAGTTTTCTATATAGGCTTCTGGTCCTGCCTGCCTGATGAGATACAAGGGAAGAGTTGTGAATGAAGAGGGTGATGTGAGTTAGATAAAATAGATTTGGCCCATTTTTCACATGAGTCCATGTGCCTGTCAACCAGAATATTAACAAGCTGGTTAAGTGGCACGTTGCTTACCCTGCTGACAACCCTTAACATCCTGCGTAATAAGGTATAGTCTTTCTTCAGTAGCCCGGGAAAAACTAAGGGGGGACAATGGAGAAAAATAGGCAGAATGCGAGAATTAACGAATTGTAGGAGTAAGGGTTGGGTTATACCAGAATGTTTTAACTTCTTGATGTAGAAGGTAAGAGGGAATATTTTATTAGAAATCATCAACATATGAGACGACCAGGAGAGATCAGCAGATAGAATGACGCCTAGGTATTTAATTTCCGACTTGATTTCTATTTCAGTGCCGTCTATGTTGCACACCTCGTGAGAGCCAACCAGTTTTGTAGCTCATGAATTCTTACCATCAACTAATGTCGTCGGTGGAAACCGATTTCACGCTTAACATACTGAACCACAAAGCAACCAAGATGTGTCGTATACTTCAACAGTGGCTTGCTTGAATTACTGGACTACTTCAGTTTCTATCCAACACACAGCATCGTATTTTTCTCAAATTGTTAATGTTTTTGCGCATTCAATCATGTCATTGAGTCGCTAAATCTACTCACGGATATTCCTGACTGGCTTTGAAACCACCGGAGAGCATTCTTTGTGGATGACGGAAAAGAACTTGGGATTAATCTATACTTCAGAACGGACAGTATTACGTCATATGATATGCGATATATTGCCATCTTGGAAAACTCCTGGATGAAGAGATGATATTATGTAATAAATTACGCAGAGAATTCTGTACATAGTGCTAACAGTTTGTCCAGAATAAAACTGACGGTATTATTATCATTATTATTATTATTACTCACATATCACACTCAGATAAGTAATTAATTACGATTTAACGAATATAAAATTCCTTTTCTTGAAGTACCCTAATTCCTGTATATGTGTTTTGTCCCCACTTCTTCTTCTTCTTCAGACCAATTCTTCAGATCAGATTAATCCTGATACAGGAATCGGTGGCAGCACACCGATGACAACACAATCCACGTCAACAGCAACAGCAACAACCGGTGTAACAGAGACAATCAATACATCAGGACAAATCAATTCTAATGTTTATGATCTACCTGAACCAGAATGGATAACACAAACATTGAAACAATATTATGAATATAATATCCTTCATAGTAATAAACAGAATATTCCCTCAGGTTTTACAATTGGATCTTGTTCATCAGCGACAACGACAACGACGAGTGGTGGAGGTACAGGTGCAGGTGGAGGTGGCGTACCCTTAGACTTTGAACAATCTTTATTTGATCATATCAGTGCAGAAGAAATGATTCTATTAGAATCAAATGATCATGAAACTGTTGATGATGAAATGGCAAAAAATTATCTACCTAGTCAATTTTCACCCAACGCTTTATTAATTCTCTTGGCCAGTTTGGCTAATTCATCACCATATCCACGTTTATCTGAAGCATTTCAATGTGCTCAATTGATATGGCGTCGTTTATTAACAAAACTGGCACGTTATCGTGCTGATTGTTTAGTTCTGCAGGCTAATTTAGCTGAGATTAAATCCAATGCTGATCATATGCAATGTCAATTGAATCAAATTGAAGCGAATTGGTCAGTTATTGTACGAGCTGTACAAATGTCTGAAGCAGCTTTAGAAATTAGTGATTGTTTAAATCAGGTAGGTGGTGAAGAATTAATTTAGCTTATTTCTTACTCTGTGTCTCTTCTTTCAACACCTACAGAATCTTCGTCTACACTAGTTGGTTACTGGGGTGTAATCAATATTGGTCAATTCTTTACTCTTGGATCGATTGTAAAACCTAGGCATACCTATCAGCGTTCAACATTTGGCATATATCTTGACTTGAGGGCGGTATTCGACTCTGTTGACCGAAAGATGTTGCGACAACGCTTGAACATAAAGGGAGCACAGCGGTTAGGGCTCTCGCCGACCATGCACATGGTCCGAGGTTCGATCCCCCACCGACGCACACCTGATATCTATGGTCGGCCTGCTAAATTTCATACTTGTACCAAAAATACTGTGTGGAATCAAGCTATAATAAAAAAAGCGTACCGCACTGATCAAGGCATAAGAGCTTATGCAGAGTTTTCACTTGAAATGATGACATCCACTGGTGTCAGTTATGAATGCTAAATGTCACAGATGTACTAGCGGATGTGATCCTGATCGACTTGTCACAAGGTAACAGTTCTCGTCGACTTAGAGTATGCGGATAATATTGTCTTTCAATATGAAGCCACTGACGAAATGGTTAGTCTTCTAAATAAACTGCGAAAATCTTGGTATGTTTGGCAAGTGGTTCTCCATTGTCAAATGTAAGATATTGCTACAGGACTAGTCTGCATCGTTTCCTAGTTTAAGGGTAGGCAATGAAGTGGTTTAACATGTTAATCATTTGACTTGTATGGGGATCTGCAACAGCCTTAATGGAGTGACTGCTGATGAAACCTCAACGGGGATAAAGAAGACTCTTGTGCCACTTGCCAACTTAGGTCATTCTGATGTGGATGGAATGTTCAGCCAGACCCCAAATTATTTCCGATGAGATTAAAATATAGCGAATAAGAACTTTAAGTTACATAACGAAATTAGATAATAAATATATTTATCAAACAATAATGCTTGCCTTGTAACCGGAAGGTCCTGGGTTCGAACCCCAGTGAATGCGTACTGCCGATGATTCCCAAACTAGGATGAAACAGCTGGCTGTCCAGTACTCCGAGCTGGTTTTCAATGGTTCCATAACTGATATCAATCCGTAATCAATTCCTTAAAAACTAATGCTTTTCTTGAGAAAATATATTGGCTAAGATGTGGTCATAACAAAGACAAAGGTTGAACGTACCACTCTCTTTGGATACATAGTTGGTCAAATTTCTTTGGTTACTAATGTAGAAAATTAATACACATTTAAAAGGTAGAAATGGTTAGAATAAATTAATTTTACAAGGGTAACACGTAATTAAAGATGAAGTGGTCAAAATAAATAAAAATAAAATAATTTGGACAATTATAATTTTTATAGGTTTAGGGGGAAAGGGGCGATGTAGTCCTGTTCATGCATTCTTGTAACGATGGCCACGGTAAGGAAAGTGGCTGCACAAATTTCTTTTGAACACATAGGCTAGGCTTCTTCAGGTGGATTCCGATTGCTTCAGCTGTCTGTAGATGATGAACTCGTAGAGCAAAATTAAGATTAGTCGAAATGCGATAAATAATTTTAAATGCAGTATTAACATCAACCTTATGATCTGTATCAACAAGGTGTGCTAAAATAGAACTACGAATAGATCTTGTTTGTCCCTTCCTTAACCATGTTGGATGATGTTCAGAAATACGACGATGAACCTGCCTAATTGTACGCCCAACGTAGCTGGCTCCGCAGCTGCTACGCTCATATGTGTCGATTTCATTCAGTCCTCTTAATGAGAGGTTTGATCAGATCCTTTATAATACTTTGAAGGATTTCTTGAATGAAGATAAGTGTCCTGAGTTTACAATGGTGTTCTGTTATAGGACTGAAGACTCGCTTCCGTTTTCTCCTCGGGCTGGGTATATGTATATAATTTATTCCTTGCGTTCTGAGTGGAACCTGAGGCTTCAACATCAGCACATCTTCATTCCACTTGGTTTCTCCGCTATCACTTCCAACTAATTCCAAGATTGCCCGCAAGTTACTACTCCATCTTCACACGATCTTCTCCATTTTACCTTTGATGACCTAATCCGTCTGTTTCCATTCTGGTTTCATCTGATGATGTCACCCAACGGTCTCCTCAAGGTAGCTTATGTCTAATCCATCTCCATTTCCTTCAGCAATTTAGTTGGACACTCGATTGTTGGCTGGTTCGCTGGCAGATTGCCTTGTTACTTATCCCTTCTGGACGGTCATCTGATCTTCTCTTTCAAGAGAACGTCGTTATTGATGAAAGTCTGTAGTACCCTGTTTGAAATGCCTTTGATGACTTGCTGTGTGGACCATACGGAAGTAATGACTTGACGTTAGTGTGAGAAATACTGGTCGTGTTCCTTATATTTATGTGTTGCGGACCTTCACACTGTTTTCAGAGTAATAAATGCCTGTCTTGCTTTCTCAATATATTACCATTACTATTACTACAATTACTACCACTGTGTTCCTTTTCATCCCCTTTAGTTGTATTCAACTGAATTAGCAGTAACAATCTGTCGTCAAACACAAAAGCATCTACTTCCAAAACATCCATTTTCAACAATTTCATCTTCAACATCATCTTCATCATTTCATGGTTACAGTAAATCATCACCATCAAATAATAAATTACAGCAACAACAACAACAAACTCAATCTCAGCAGCACACAACAACAACAGCAGCAACAGTCATTGAAAAAGTTCCCATCCCAACAATGTCAACCGCCATCGATGCTACATCAACCATATGCTGTGATTTCTTTAACAAATTCTACAGGTTCAGAAGAACATGATTTATCAAATCATGGACAACCAATTTTACCAAATAATTTTAATTTAAATACATTGAAACTATTTAGGTAAGTTGACAGTATTAAATGTATAATATGATTGCGCATTATTATTACTACTTTATTATTGTTGTCCCGTCGGGTTGCGAGTGGAGCATACGGCTTCAGCAGCACGTCTCCACTTTGTTCTAATCTCTGTGGTCCTCCTTAGTTCGCCCCACGATTGCCCATAGCATCTCATCTCCTCCTAGCACGATCTCCTACATATCACCCTCGGAGCCAGGCCCCACTCGTCTTTTCCCATTCGGGTTCCAGTCGAGTGATGGCCTGGAGTGCAATGTCACCAGATGGACTCCTAAGCGTATATCCGATTCATCTCCATTTTCTTCTAAAGACTTGCTGAGCAATTGGTTCTTGGTTGGTTTGTTCCACTGCTGCAGAGTTTATTGTCGTTAATTCTTTCTGACCATTTGCTATTCAATATGGGGCCAGCCAGCCCGCCAGCGAAGGTGGCAGTTCTCGATAAAGGTCTGCAGTCGCCTGTTTGGAAATGCTCTTGGTGATGTGTGTGTCTGTCAAGTTTCTGACCCATATTGAAGAAGTGACTGACTGACTTCACATTTGTGTTGAAAATCCGAATCTTGTTGTTGTGTAGAAGATTTGCAAATTGATTTCAGAGGGATAAAGGTGGACCTTGCCTTTTCGATGCTGACTGGCTTTGACATATTCATCCGTGCTATTGCCGGTATTTGAAACGATGCTTCCCGGTGAGATAAGTGAAGGAAGCGACCTCTTTCAGATTTCTCCCGTTGATAGTGATTGGTGCTGGTTGTTGTTGTTGTTGGTTGGTTGGTTATCTTCATCACCAGTCTTTGCTGCTTGCCTCTTCTGCCAGTTAGTTGGTTTTCTCTTGTAAGTCTTTGAGTTTGCGTGACTTCAAGCATAAATCATCAGCGGAGTCCAGATGTTCTAGACCCTTCTTATTGGTCCAATATATTCCCGTCTTCTTGCTCCCATGCACAGTCTTCCACATAATCCACCCCAAGGTGGTTAGGACTCTCACAGATCATGCACATGGTCCGGGGTTCGATCCCCTGCCGACACACACCCGATATCTATGGTCGGCCTGCGAAATTTGGGCTACCGATATCACATGCTGAAAATTCCATACCTGTACCGAAAAATACGGTGTGGAATCAAACTGTAATCAAAAAATAAAAAATCATAGGCGGTACTAGACACCCTTTTCTTGCTCCTGTATTCACTTCAAATGCTTCGTTGAGTTTTCCTACGTGAGTCATCTGACATTTGCCACTGTCACACAGCTGTTGAATAAGGTTGATAAAGATTTGGGGCACTGCACTCCATAGTGTCGGAGTAGTTCCCAAATTACTTCTCGGTCAACACCGTTGAAGACCTTTTCAGAGTCGATGAAACTTAGGATAGATATATAACTGCCATTCTACGCTTCGTTCAATCGTGGTGCGTAGAGTTGCAATTTGACCAGCACATGATTTGCCTTTCCTGAATCCAGCTTGTTCCTGGAGTAGTACAGTAGCCGGTGCGGTTTTTATTCTCTTCAGGATGACATGACTTAGTATTTTAATTGGCATGGACAAGAGCATGATTTCGCGCTAGTTCTTGTAATTTTTGATTGCTTTGAGTTTCATTCCCGGCGGACCTTACTCCTAAACCCTGTTCATCTGGTAGTAAGCCCTGTAAAGAGGTAAATTCGGGTGTGAGTCTTTAGGAAACCAGTTAGTTAGGCTGTCGCTGAATGACTTCGAGCTCGTTTCCAGTTCGTTTTAACTAGAAATAACACTCATGATTGCTATTTGCCGCATTTATCCAGTTAGACCTGAACTTTGGCCACAATACCTACTGGTGGCTGACTGATATGAGTTAATTAGTTAGAGACTACTCACCTCAAGCAATAGTGTTTGCTATTTGGACAGATCAGCAGCAGTTTTGTTCGTCTGCTGCCTAGCTTATCAGTTTTGGACCACGTATAACTCTGATTGGACACTAGTAACTAGTGTGATGTGTCTAGTCCTTTCTTTGGTGCAGACTGAATTCTATCAGTCCGGTTTGCAATGGGGCCACACACGCACACACACAACAATGACAATTATTCTGTAACCACTATCGATTTATAACTGTAGGATCTGATGAACAATTTATCAAAAAGCAATATTCTTTGTTCACTAATCAGTCTTTCTTGATTATTATTCATATATATACAAGGGTTGATGACAGGGTATCAAAATTATCGATTTTTCCTCTTTTCCATAAAGATTCTGAAGAACAGAAAGTAGTCATAATTTGAACGTCAGATATTAGAGTGAATGATCGTAAATAAAAATGAATATATAGTCTTGCATGCTTAAATTAACGTTCGCATTGACACACTAGTTGATAGTGTCCAATCAAACTATCCACTACAGTCTTACAGGAGGTCAATCGCCAGCCCGAATAGCTCAGTGGTAACGTCTCAGTTTAGAAATAGGGAGTGAAGTGGTAGAGCACGTTGACCACTTCACTTATTTGGGAAGTACCATCAGCCCCAACGGGTTGATCTCTGACGAAATCTCAGCACGGATACAGAGGGCTAGTTTCGCATATGCCAGTTTACACCGTCTCTGGCGTAGACGTGATATCCGCCTATCGACCAAAAGGCGTGTGTACTGCCATCATCAGTCCGCTCCATCCTCCTCCTTTATGGCTGTGAGACCTGGCCATTGAGAGTGGAAGACATGAAAAGATTAGCTGTCTTTGATCATAGGTGTCTGCGTTCTATCTCCCGTGTGAAGTGGTATAATAGGGTGAGCAATATTGAGGTTAGGCATCGGTCGAGTGCTAGGTAAGGAGGGGAGATCAATAGACGAGGCTGTGAAATTACATAGACTGAGATGGTTAGAAAATGTGTTACGTATGCCTAGCCATCCACTGCCTCCTCGACAGGCAATGTTAGCTGAAATAGGGTCAGGATGGAAAAGAGCTAGCGGCGGTCAAACCAAAACATGGCTTCATCAGTCAATGAAATCTACAACAGTTAGTCTAAGCCAGCCACGTAGGAAGGTGTAGACTTCCTGGTTGGGGTCCTCGGGACGGTAAAAACCAATGGTTGGAAACAATTGGTGACATGGCTCAAAATCGTTGTCAATGGCTGGCGCAGATGCATCCACTCCTTGTGACTTATGATTTCCAATGAAACTATACTGTTCTTCGTTATTACTATTCCTTTGTCTCACACCTCTGTTTACTGTCTATATTATTATGCATTTCTCCTACTTTCTTCTCTTGCTTTGTGTGATGCATGGAGTGTGGCGACTTGAACTGCTGCACATCGGTGCAAAGTTCTATGTCGAAAACAGATAGACAGACAGAACGTCTCTAACTGCAGCACTGGGTAACGTTGGTTCGAATCTCAGAAGAGACATGAGTTCCTTCAAGGTTGCAGATACGCCTTGTTGAATGCTGAGTGCCAACTAACACGAAACCTAGGTCGAAGACTTCCAGCGGCCGATTGCCTCCAACCATCTAATATCACGTATAACTCTGTTCAAAATGCCAACTCACTTCAAAGCTTACGAATTCTAGATTATAAGAAAAAAAGTGTTTTAAAAAACAACAAGTGTTCATCTCCTTCTTAAGTTAACTAATCATAATACTGAGCTAAAACAGTTAAAATAAATTATGATGAATCTAGTGTATAAAACTTTGGAGTTTGAAACAACAGGTGCTGGGTTCGAGCCTTCTCAGTAGTAAGGTGACTATTACTCAGTGGAATTCACATACATATCCAACTAATGAGTTCCAAAAAGGATGAAACTCACTCGTTTGTCTGAATGTAATTTGATAACCACTGTCATATAGATAATACAACAAGTATATAGTTGTCTATCTGTCTGTTTTCGACATAGAACTTTGCACATATGTGCGGCAGTTCAATTCGCCACACTCCATGCATCACACAAAGCAAGAGAAGAAAGTAGGAGAAATGCATAATAATATAGACAGTAAACAGAGGTGTGAGACAAAGGAATAGTAATAACGAAGAACAATATAGTTTCATTGGAAATCATAAGTCACAAGGAGTGGATGCATCTGCGCCAGCCATTGACAACGATTTTGAGCCATGTCACCAATTGTTTCCAACCATTGGTTTTTACCGTCCCGAGGACCCCAACCAGGAAGTCTACAGCTTCCTACCTGGCTGGCTTAGACTAACTGTTGTAGATTTCATTGACTGATGAAGCCATGTTTTGGTTTGACCGCCGCTAGCTCTTTTCCAGCCTGACCCTATTTCAGCTAACATTGCCTGTCGAGGAGGCAGTGGATGGCTAGGCATACGTAACACATTTCCTAACCATCTCAGTTTATGTAATTTCACAGACTCGTCACTGAAGTGACTATTGAGTTAGGCGTCGAGTGCTAGGTAAGGAGGGGAAATCAATCGACGAGGCTGTGAAATTACATCGACTGAGATGGTTAGGACATGTGTTACGTATGCCTAGTCATCGCCTTCCTCGACAATGGGCAATGTTAGCTGATATAGGGTCAGGATGGAAAAGAGCTAGCGGCGGTCAAACCAAAACATGGCACCAGTCAATGATATATATATATATAGTTAATGGAGAAGATTTGTAGCTCACGTGGTTGATTTTGACTTTGTATTCTTTGAACTGCTGATTTAACTGCAAAGCTTCCGCTCTCCTTCTAGACTTCATCTTCAAACCCAAGCTTTAATATAAAGTGAACTTGTTTGAATTCCACATAAATGTTGTTATAATTGTATCTTCTGACAGCTATTTTCGTGATTGTTTGTTAATTGGCAACATCTCTCTTGATTATTTTTATTGACTCGGAATTTGAACAATCTTTTCTTATATTTTATTTTTTATTAGTTGATAAATATTACATGTAATGATGTGTGTTTGTTAGTCGATGATTTATTTGAGTACCAGGCTTCTAGAAACCTGATACCAATCACGACAGTTTCTGTCGGGAGATACAATTATATCATTTATGAAGAATTCAAACAAATTTACTTTATATTAAAGCTTACGTTGAAGATATAGTCTAGAAGGAGACCGAGAGCTTCTCAAATAAGTCAGCAGCTAAGAGAACACGACTAAATCAAAAAAGAATATTCTTAATTTTTGAAGTTTAATTGATTGTAGGCAATGGGTAGGAAGCCATGAGCCTAAGTTTAGAGTTTTCATGTTGACAGTTGTCAGTTAGACGTATCCATGGAGATGTGAAATCGTGTTATTCAGTGCTATAGTCGGCAGCATTACTTCTGAGCTACTCGAGCACATCATTTCTACGTTCTGTGGGATTGAGCTGGATATGGAGATTACTTACTAGGGTGTGTGTGTGTGATGATGTTCGAGGCTCGGCGGGAACATCATCACTCACTGGGGAATGCAGGTACATCCAGATGACGAGTCACAAATAGGACGAAATGCGCATCCTGGATTCCACTGCTAGTCACCATCCACCAATTAAATTCTAATTACATGCCTAAACATCGTCGAATCATCTGCACAAGAAGCCGACATATCAACCTGAGACCGAGCATGTTTTTTGTCTTTACTGTTGGAGCTGACTGATTTCTATCAGTCAAGCTTAATTCAACACTGTGGTATTATAAACGATGCAACTGAAACGCATGCATGTGCACATACACATACACACACAAGTACAATAAACTGATATAACTAATGAGATGAATTATGTAATCAGTATATTTGAAAGACTAACTGACTGGTTTCAACATAGAACTTTACACAGACGTTCACCAGTTCAAGTTGCCACACTCCCTACATGTAGCACACAGAGAAAGAGAAGAGAGTAAACAGAGATTCAAGAGAGAGAGAGAGAATAAACACAAGTGTGAGTGAGGGAAAAGAATAGTAGGAATATGGAAGAACAATGGAATTTTATTGGATGACATGACAAATGACAAAGGGTGTATGCATCTACACCAGCCATCACCGAGAACGAGGATCTTGAGTCATGTCACCCAGCAATTGTCTCCAGCCGTCATTGGTTCTTACCATCACGAAGACCTTAACCAATCAGGAAAGCAGTTTACACCTCCCTACGCGCACTGACTGGCTGGCTTGAACTAACTGTCGTGTATTTGATTGACTGATGAATCCATGTTTTGGTTTGACCACCACCAGTCAACTCTTATCTTTATCTGACAGCATCAGTTATGCAATTACAGGCAGGTCATTGGATCTCGACATAATAACTGAAAGGTGAATAGGCTCACCTCGTAGGGTGAAGATCATGTTTTTTGTCACTGACGTGATCTTGGCTGGGCACAGCCGAAGAGTTGCAAACCAGGACGAAACAGCTGTCCTCTTCTATTTAAGTGGTTGATTTATATTTGAGTTGTTTACTCCCAGAAGTTCTCCTATCATAGTTCTTTTGATAAACACTTAGTTCAGTAGTATCGTGGCATGTGCTACTGACAAGATTGTACAAGTAATTCACTGTGTGTAATTTCTCCTGCGTAGATATTGAACAGGGGAGCAACGGATTAAGTGGTAAAGACAAGAACTGAAAGATCCTTGTGAAATAACAGATAGAAAGCATGAAAAGAAGATGAAAGAAGCCTTATACAAAGAATATGTACAAATATAAATTTTATTGTAAAGTTTCTGTATTTTACCATAAATGTTCATCAGTTTGCAAAATACGCATTCTTCATAGGTCACAGTCGAATTGGCCTTTAATCTATTTAGCAAGCACTATCGGATAGTATAAATGTTTCCTACCGCTACGGTTTAATATCCAGATTGCTGAGATCCTGGACCTATCTCTGGTTTCAGAAGATTAAACTTAATACGGAGAACACTGTGTAGTGTGTTACCGACGCGGAACAACAGAAAACAGTTGCGCGACACACGATTATCTATTCTTCAAGCAATAATGTAACAGATTTACAGTGGTTAATGGGTGCTGAAGTATTTCTCCAATCTTCTGCCAAGGAGCACATAATTAAGTGATAATAGCCTTCCTGTCTCCCGCCAAATGGAGACCAGTTTGAACAAACGAACTATTCAATGTTCAACAACATTTACAGCTACTGTCATTCACTTCAATTAGTAGTATATACTGTAATAATAAAAACGTGTACATGATTATTATTATTATTGTTCCCTTGGGTTCCTAGTGGAACATAGGGCTTCAACTTCACGTCTCCACTTGCTTCTGTCTTGTGCTGTACTTTTCACTTGCGTCCATGTTATTCCATACTGTTTCATCTCCTGCTCACACGATCTCCTCCATGTCACCCTTGCACTGACGTCCCACTCGCCGCTTCCCTTTCGGGTTCCACTCGAGCGTTGGCCTGACGCGCGATGTCACCCAGCGGCCTCCTCAACTCAGCGAGTGTCCAATCCATCTCCACTTCCTCCTGCATATTTGTTGGGTGATTGGTTCCTGTTTCGTTTGTTCCCATAGCTTCTTGTTTGTGATTCTTTCCGGCCATCTAATCTTCAGTATGGAGCGAAGACAGTTGTTGATAAAGGTCTACAACCTGTTGAAAATATTCTTTGTGACCCGCCGCCAAGTTTATGATCCGTAAAGCAAAATTGACTTGACGTTTGTATTGAAAATCCGAATTTTGTTGTTGATGGTGAGTGACGAAGATTTCCAGATATATGATATGTACATGATATTCTTCATAAATTGTTGAATTGATAAATGCTTACATCATTGTGTATTTTACTCTTTTTTTTCCTTTGTAGACAACAAGCTGAATTCTTAGCCTATACAGTATTAGATAAATATGAAACATCCGATGGTGGTTATGAGAAGATTCTACCAACGACGTGTATGCCAAACATGATGATGATGAATGCACCAACAATGGCGACAACACCTTCAGTGGCAGGAGCAACTGCTGCTGCTGGTGGTGGCCTGTCTAACCCACGTGGAACTATCGCTAATCATCAATCCCAACAACAACAACAACAGCATCCATCTCAGTCTCCTGTTAGTCCAGGTGTCTTCTCCATTCAATCAGCTATTACATCATCGAATAGTTTATTAGATAATAACAGTGTCTATGCTAATTCCTGGTATGTTAGCCTGAATCGTTCACGAGCTAATGGTGATCATCAATTCCGACAACATCAACATAAACAGCAACAACAACAACAGACAAATGTGAATGGTTCATTCCCATCAATGAATCATCAATTGCAACAACACGCTATTCGAATGAACAGCATGAGCAATAATCCACAAATGCGTACATTTTTGAAATCCTCATATTCTCCTCATATAAGTGCAAATCAAACTATGAGTAGTACAGGAGGGAATACTGGTAATGGGGGTGGTGGTGGAGGCTGGGAGACTCCAGATTCAGGTGCTGGTAGCAGCAGTATGAATGAAGTCTCCTCACAACAACAACAACAACTCCTGCTTAGCCAACAATCTCAACACCATCATCAACAGCCATTTTTAAATCCACCATTTCTACTCTCCTCCTCTTCATCTTCTTTATTATTTGGACATTTTTATCAAACTTATGGCGTAAACAATAATAGTAATAATAATAATAATAACAGTAATGGTAGTAGTGGTAGTAATAGTAATAATAAGTTGAATAGTCAATCCGATCTATTCCTGTTCAATTCATTATTGGACAATTTACCGCCATTATGGACATTTTTAACGAAATCGTCAGCGTCATTCTATGAATCAGATTTAGATTCATCAGATTCATCAGATGCACTGGGGAACACAACACATACTACTCATCATCATCATAATATAAGTAGTAGTCAACCTTCACACTGCCTTCAACATCAACAACAGCACAATCAAACGTCAAATACTAATACTAATCCTCCAAATCTGAGTACTACTCCTAATAACAACAACACTAGCAGTTATATTCACTTATCTAACTGGTCTAGAATAGAAGAACGTAAATTACGCACAATTTATTGTCAATTAATCAATACTTATAAACGTTTAAAATCAATGTTAATTGATTTGCCTAACTTAGATATGAGTATGAATCATCATGAAGGTGTACTGGAGACATCATCGTCGTTTATCAGCAGTTATCCTGATGCTGATTCAAACAATCCTATGAACAAGTTACTATCACCAATGACAATACAACAACAAACTGACTCAGATCGAATGAGTCGTTTAAATCAATGGAATGTAAGTTTTGAGAGATTCTTTTTTCCGTCACGTTCCCCAGTGGAACATAGGGCTTCAAGCTAGTGGTTTGAAGTTTCTGTAGCAGTGTTTTATTTTTTACAGGATGGGGTTGCTAGCCTCATACCCAACCTTTCCTCTTCGCCAGCATTATTTCTGGCTTAGCAAGGTAAAGGAGTGCGTCCAGTGGCCGAGGATCGAACCCCGGACCATATGCATGGTCGGCGAGCGTCCAAACCGCTATGCTACCGACACAAGTTTTGAGATATACAATATAAATATTTGATAATGAGACAATCTAACTAGTATAGTCTTACGTTGTTGATAGACTATGTTAGTGGGGTAGTAAATGGGTGATTTCGGCATTAGAACAGCCGGCCTCTGAATTACTAGTCTATCGATCTATCAGCTGATGGTGAGATTGTCTGAGATAGCCACTTTGAGTTGTTATTATTATTATCACTATTAATATTAATCCCGTGCGTTCTGATTAGAACATAGTCGGCAGGAAGCCTTGGATCTGGGTTTCGTGCTAGTTGGCACTCATCAGCAAGGCGTATCTGCAACCTTGAAGGAACTCATATCCCTTCTGAGATTCGAGCCCACGTCACCAAGTGCTGCGGTCAGAGACATTACCACTGAGCTATTCAGGCTCGCGACTGACTTCCTATAGGACTGTATTGCATATTTTTGATTGCACACTAGTCAGTAACTAGTGTAATGTGTCTAGTCCTATCTTCGGTGCAGACTGAATTCTATCAGTCATGTTTGCAATGTGGCCACCATGCTAGGTGGCTCGCCATTACGGTACACTGTGAATTGTTGGCCACCTAGCATGGTGGCCACATTGCAAACATGACTGATAGAATTCAGTCTGCACCGAAGATAGGACTAGACACATTACACTAGTTACTGACTAGTGCGCAATCAAAAATATAGAATATAGTCCTTCAACAGTATATGCTCATCTCATCTTGTTCTCTACAGTCCCCGTTATCTGACCATTAAAAATTAGAGAAGAGTACCGGAAAGCTACTTCGTCCTAGTTTGAAACGCTTCAACAACACCTGCCCATGACTCCTCAGCTAAAGTTGGAACCCAGGACCTTGAGCTTAACCATTTCAATGACTGAGATGATATTCTATCGCCTATGAATCCCCAATCCTATCGATTCGATAGCACATAGTGTAATATTAGGTTGGACACCATCAGTTTGCCCCCACCAGAGAGGTAAAAATGAAGACGGAACAGTCGTCTGCTGTTTATTAACCTCTGTTGGTCTTCTAATTGTTGAAATCAACATCTAGGCATTCAGATGGATTGATTTCGGTTATTGGATTTTCGTCATGAACACCAGCATCAGTTAAAAAGGGAGGCGGGGGAGGGCATAGGATAGCCTACCAAGGAGGGATCGGACCCTGGACCAAGTCCTAAAGAGATTGTAAGATGAAACAGCTCTCCCATGCTTCCAGTTGGTTTTCAATGATCCCCATATAACTGTAATGTCGATTCGTGACGACGACGATGACGACCTAACGATTGAAATTAACATCTTGGTCATGTTACAAAAATGATTTCTTATTTTCGCCTTGTTCTTTTTAAATTTATCCTTGGTTTATTTATATTTTGTTAATTATACAAGTAGTATAAACTGTTATTAGGTAAGTGTACAATCACCAATCACATTGACTATGTTTCTTTGTTCATTTGACTCGACTTGTGTGTATCTATCTATGAGTGTATATGTATGTGGTAAGGATGATTCAATAGGTGTATGAATCATTTTCTCGTCTTTCTAATAGTAATAATAATCCCTTGTATCTATCAAAATCTTGTTTTTCTCTCCTTCTCTAAAGTCTCAATCATACAATTGAAACTATATCTGCTTTAGTAGTAGCACACAATAAGAATAACCATCATCATCGTATTACAACCAATTATGAACATGTGTAAAATAGAATTATTGTTATTATTATTACTTTTATTGATCTCTATATGTGCCTTGATTTATTGTGCCTATCTTATCCGTCCCGCCACGTCCGCCACGCATACTGGCACACATGCACACCGTCATCTCCTAGACCTACTTCTAAGCTAACAACTAACTAATTCAATGAAAAAATCTTTGTTATAGAAACTAAACAGCAGGTGTTTGATATGTATAGAGTGAGTGTATGAGTGTGTATATACGCGCACACATGCACGCACGCACATATACACACACACAGAGGTCTTGTTATTGCTAGATTGGGCTGTGCATCATGTTAACTGAAGTTTATACTCTCTCCCCCCACACACACACATACACACATACACACGTAATCATGCGTCTATGTGTACATGACACCACGTGTACAACTGTAGTTTCCACCACTAACATACTCCCCTTTCCTGTTATCCCCCCACCCCTGGCTAACCACTGATGTCTATGTAGGAAACTATGCCGTAGAATAGAATAACACTTGTTCTGACCCTGGAAAGATTGAAAGAGGCCTTATTATTATTATTTTGATTATTATTTCAGATGGATACTGACTATAAATTCAATACTGCTACAGTATATTCAGATTGTTGTTTAACCTTTACCGCTTAAACTAACTAACTAATTCCCTCACACCATCATTATCATGAATTTCCATTTATCAATAAATGAATAACAAATAAGAAGTGTGTAAATGAAACATATTCACTCTTTTGTGTGTGTGTTCCTCTCGTGTTCATAAATAATCATCATAATAAACAGATATTATTATCATCATCCACATTTATTAGTTTAGGTCAAGGTTGTATCGTCTAATCAAATATCACAGGCATCGATGCAAAACATGAATAAACGTATGTGTGTTTATTATTTAACTACTAAATGGCAATTTATGTGTACAAAATAGAAAGAAATTCTAAAATCACGTGATAAATAAGTGGTAAAAGCCTCTATCATTGATCTGGTATATAAACTTGAAATCAATTTGATAATCAGTTAGTTAATAAACTACCGCTTCCAATGATTGATGCACTCTTCAAGGTTATCCTCTATTCAAGGTTAACCATTTTTAGACTCCTTAGAAGTACCCGACTACCAGGGGTCGGACCTCTAAGACCCCTCAGTTACAAGATAAGCTCTCAAATACTTAGACTTGAACCACTGACAGAACTCCAGGCAACTTCGTCCTGTAGTTTCAGTCACTAGCGAATATCGGATTGTTTTTCAAGAGTTAGTTTGCGGATTTGAAACCCTGTTGGGTGTGAACTGGTGAAGAGTCTTCAACTGGGACGAAACAACCGTCAAGTACTCCTTGATTTTCAATGTTTCTTTAACCGAAGTCATTTCGTGATCAAATATGAAATCAACTAAATCTCCGCAAACCAACATTTGGCAATTAATCTAATGTTCGCTCGTGTTTGACTACAGGATGAAATCGCCTCTAGAGTTTTATTGAAGCGTTGTGACTAGTGGGGTCCATCAAGCCCCAGAGTGTGAGGAAAAATCCTCGCCTATGACATTAACCAGAGGTGGCGGCGGTATATCTCGCGAATTAGTAGAAGTTAGAATTCATAGAGCATTGAATTGTGTCCCATTTAGCTGAATGACTTATCTCTTAACCTGAAAGCTTTGGATTTGGTCCCCTGGCTATAGAGTCATGGGTACGTACTGTTGAAATGTTTCAAACTAGGAAGAAACAGTTGTCCAGTCATTCCTGGTTTTCAGTAAGATGTTCCCTTAACCATCAAGGGACATATGTGTACTACATTGTATAGCAGAGTTCTCCATATAGCGCACACAGTCACGAGTGCTGGTAGAAGATATGAAGGAATTAGAGCTATCTAAGTATGAACTCACTAAATTTTCAACTTTGAAGTTTACACAAAAGTAAAGCGCTTCAACTTATTACACTATGTGTAGAAAAATAATTGCAGTTATTTTGATACTGAAACCTACTCTGAAGATGTTGTCTAGAAGGACAACGAAAGCCTCTCAATTAAATCAATCATTTCTTTAGAGAACACAACCAAATCAAATCAACCATCTGAGCTACAGATCTTCTCCATTATAATTGTAGTTAGAAAAACAAACAGAGAAATGCAAAGAAACTATGAAAATTTGTAAATCAACTTGAGAAAGAATAATAATAATAATAACTAAATGGATGGTAATCAGAATTTAATGGATTTAAGATACCACAAAGACTGGACGTATCTATGGCAGCGAGAACTATTTTAAGCTGTATTATGAACGGTCTGGGTGCATCGGTGGGGCAGCGGTAGAATGCTTGCCAATTATGCCTCATGGGGTCTGGGGTTCGATCCTTGGCCGAAGAACTCCTGGAAATCTCAGCACGAATACAGAGGGCTAGGTTCGCATATGCCAGTTTACGCCGTCTCTGGCGTAGACGCGATATCCGACTATCGACCAAAGGGCGTGTGTACTGCTCAACAGTCCGCTCCGTCCTCCTTTATGGCTGTGAGACCTGGCCATTGAGAGAGGAAGACATGAAAAGATGAGCTGTCTTTAATCATAGGTGTCTGCGTTCTATCTCCCGTGTGTATTAGGTGGTATAATAAGGTGAGCAATATTGAGGTTAGGCGCCGAGTACTAGGTAAGGCGGGGAAATCAATCGATGAGACTGTGAAATTACATCGACTGAGATGGTTAGGATATGTGCTACGTATGCCTAGTCATCGCCTTCCTCGACAATGGGCAATGTTAGCTGATATAGGGTCAGGCTGGGAAAGAGCTAGCGGCGGTCAAACCAAAACATGGCACCAGTCAATGAAATCTACAACAGTTAGTCTAAGCCACATAGCAAGGTGTAGACTTCCTGGTTGGGGTCCTCGGGACGGTAAAAACCAATGGTTGGAAACAATTGGTTACATGGCTCAAAATCGTTCTCAGTGGCGCAGATGCATCCACTCCTTGTGACTTATGATTTCCAATGAATCTGTTTTGTTGTTCGTTATTACTATTCCTTTGTCTCACACCTCTGTTCACTATCTATATTATGCATTTCTCCTACTTTCTTCTCTTGCTTTGTGTGCTACATGGAGTGTGGCGACTTGAACTGATGCACATATGTGCAAAGTTCTATGTCGAAAACCGACCGACCAACCGACCATGATGTTTGTTATGCATGCTATCATCTATGAGCAATGGTCAACTGGAATGGAAAAAAACTACGAAAGAGTTCAAGTTGAACTGACTAAAATATACAACATTAATATATTAAGTCATCACGCTATTACCTCATTAAATTATTTCAAACCTATTTTACTTATTTAAAATAATCTAATCTACTCTTTATATACTAGCAGCGAAATTCTAGGATGTGCATTTCGTCGTCAGCTAGTGGATGTAACTGTATTTCAAGTAAGCACTGATAGTTATCTTATTGAGACTGGAATCCACCAGTCATTGTTTCAAACATCAAACTGTTATCCGCTACAGCAGTCGGATACGAGAGCCACCTTGGCTCTTGGTCACCACCATCTACTTGAAGCATGACAAAGTTCCTATTCAGAATGGTACTTTTTTTCCTTTGTATTCATGGTATTTGAAGATCTTAGATTATAATTGTATATTTTCATTTTCTATCATACGAATTGTATGATGTCTCACAACTTAAACCTTTACTCAACAGTGCCTGACTCTATATTGATTCAACGGTGTGTGTGTGCATGTGTGAGTCGATTGTTTTAGAGCAATACAGTAATTTCTTGTTAAGACAGATTTCGTTACAAACCAATATTAATTAGAAAAGTCATCAAAAACAAAAGAACCCTAGAAAGCTGTTTCATCCTAGCTTGGGACTCTTCATCGGTACACGTCAGAGATCGGAAACATGACCTTCAGTCTACTAGTCGAGTTCGTCTACCTTTCAGCCATTCGTTTGAAATCCAATGACACATTAATTCTATTGTTCCACCGCTAAGCGAAACCATTCAGGATCATATGCTCCTTACCTGATATGTTGGACCCATCCCATGACAGTATCTCAGTAGAACTTCAAGACATTCATCCTGTTACCAATATTGAGTTGGAAATCCACGTTCAGACTCCTGGTTCCGTTAGAATTCGATGGGTCACTGGGTTCCAACCCAATAGCTGAAGAGTTAATGTGCACGAGCTTGTGACGTAAAGGTTTTGGTTTTAGTCCCTGTAGGGTCCCTTGATATGTACCACTGAAGATTCCCGAAATAGGACGAAACAGCTATCCTTTGTTGCTTCTCTAAATGATATCAATTTGTGATATCAAATCTACACTCCTTTTTTAAATTGATAACCCTATTGATTGTCCAAACAAAATTCTAAAATACCTAAACATCTAACTAATCTATCTGTCCTTTTGTTTTGTAAAGTGATATGAACAACTTTGCATAGGAATTTCATTTTGTTTAAATCATTTAAAGAGGTTTCTAGTTTATTTTTATTTCTCTAACTAAATTGTCTTCTGACTAGTGTTCAACTTTTGTTCACTTAATTTTTACTTCCTCTTGATAAAAGAAGAAGTAGAATAGATTTAAACTTAAAATATAAACACCAGTATAATGAATGTTAATGGATTGTAAACATTGAATCATTGAATAATCTGCAAATTTTCCCGCTTCCATTTAATCAAACACTTATCCACCTACACACACACATACATACATAAATCCATTGAACTTTGAAGTAATTCAATTAACTATTGAACATTGATCATAGTGTTGTTTACAGTGGTACAGAAGAATTTAAACAAATATATATATTTATAACGTGGATTTAAAACTTGTTTAAGAATTCGATTTTTTTCTAGATAGCCTTTCTTTCTTACTTAGTTGTATATTAAGAAAGATAAGTGCGTTGTTATGTGTATAATTATTTTCAAGAATTTGTTCGCAGGGATTTGTTTTTGTTTTCGTCAGATTTGATCACGGATTAATGATATCAGTTACAGAAGCATTGAAAACCAACTTGGAGTACTAGACAGCTGTTTCGTTGGCCTAGTTTGGGTCTCAACGGCCAGGGTTTGAACCCAAGACCTTCCAGCCACAAGGCGAGCTTGCATATCATTCAGTTACTGGGACCAGACTCAATGGGCGGCCCATGAGTTCTAACTTCGACTAATTCGTGATTTTAGAGCGACCATCGGCCAGTATTACCGGCAGCGAGTATTTTTCCTCACTCCCGCTCGACCAGGTGAACCCCACTGGTCACGACCTCTTATTAGAACTCCATCGACCTTTTGCTGCAGCCAGTCACTGGTGAGTGCCAGATTAATTTTCAAAAGTTAGTTTACAGGGTTCGAACGCCTCTGGTGGGTGTGTGCTGCCCATGAGTCCTAAACCAGGCTGACCAAACAACTGTCCAGTACTCCCTACTGGTTTTCAGTGGTTCTCTAACGGATATCTCATCAATCCATGATCAAATTTGGAACAAATCAAATCTCTACAAATAAACTCTTAAAAACTAGGTGAATTTTTACCTATTTATTTATTATTTATCATTTTGTAGTTTTGTTCTAGTTTTAAATTTAATTTTGTCGTTTATTTTAAAAATTTCATTTTGTTATTCTTTCACTTGTGATTAATTTATTGATTTCCTGTCTCTATTGCTGCTGCCATTTCAACTGTTTCCTTTCCATTTCTGTTTTTTCCTGTTTTTTTTCCGTCTGTGAAATAGTCCGCATCAATGAATTCACTGCGCAAATTACCATTGGCAGTATTCCTGGAGAATTCAGTTCTACTGCAGGTAAGTATCCCTTTTTAAAATAATTATTAGTTTACGCTTTTATTATTATTATTATTATTAGTAGTAGTAGTATTCTTTTAAGCGTTTTATTTCTGCATATAATCAAATTTACTACTTAAATCTGGGAAGTAGTACTTTATAGTAAAGAAATTTAGAATAATCATATGAATGATTTCAGTAGAGAGAAATAAACGAAGTGAAAGAGTTGTGATCCAAGCGAATGAACTTGAAGGAACCAATCAGAGTAAGCGAAAATAAACCGTAAATTAATCTATGAAGAGTAAGATTTGAGCATTGTGACTGACTGATTGACTGACTGGTTTCAACATAGAATTTTGCACCGACGTGCAGCAGTTCGAGACGCCACACTCCATGTAGCACACAAAACAAGAGAAGAAAGTAAAAAGAAATGCAAAATATAGACAGTAGACAGAGATATGAGGCAAAAGGAATAGTAGTATCGAAGAACAATATAGTTTCATTGGGTATTATAATTCACAAGGAGTGGATGCATCTGCGCCATTGAGAATAATTTGGAGCCATATCACCAATTGTCTTCAGCCATTGGTTTCTACCGTCCCGAGGACCCCAACCAGGATGTCTACACCTTCCTACGTGGCTTGTAAACTAACTGTTGTGGATTTCATTGACTGATGAAGCCATGTTTTAGTTTGACCACCAGTGACTCTTTTCCAATCTGACCCTATATCAGCTAACATTGCCCATCGAGGAGGCAGTGGGTGGTTAGGCACACGTAACACATGTCCTAACCATCTCAGTTGATGTAACTTCACATCATTGTCGATTGATTTCCCCTCCTTACCTAGCACTCGACGACTAACCTCAGTATTGCTCACCCTATTATACCACTTCACACGGGAGATAGAACGCAGGCACCTATGATCAAAGACAGTTAGCCGGCCTTTTCATGTCTTCCAATTCCAATGGCCAGGTCTCACAGCCATAAAGGAGGAGGATGGAGCGAACTGCTGGTGTGCAGTGCACACGTTCTTTTGGTCGACAGCCAGCTGGATATCACGTCTACGCCAGGGACGGCGTAAACTGGCATATACGAAACGAGCCTTCTGTATCCGTGCAGAGAAACACCTTACTGCCGTTACATCCCTGTTCCCCAGCAGTATGACTTCGCCCACAGACCCCCAGCATAGTGTAAAAAAATTCTTACACTGTGCCGGTAACTGCTTTTAGTCTAATCGCTATCATAACAACTTTCGTGGCATTGTATTATATGCAGGAACAATAGTTCCAGCCAGTGTAGCTTGTTGGGTCATTGCGATATGCAAGCCCGACTACCACGTCAATGTAGCCAGTTATCGGTCGGGATTTGAGCACTGTCGTAGAGTATAATTACATACTGGATAAATCCTCTTGATATCCGAATAGACATCAAAACTCTTCGAGGTTACAGATATACTTTACTGACGAGAGTGCTAACGAGTACAAAACCTATTATGTCAAGGAGTTGTAAGACCAGTTGTTTGAATTTACCTCTTTGTGTTTATCTCTCATCAATATTATGTGTCTGAAAAAATCCTCTATAAGATTTCAAATTACATTACACTGAATAAACAAGTAGTAAGGCTTAGTATTAAGACATTTAACCCATGATTGACCACTTTTAAAATTGATTGATACCTAATAACTTGGTCAACTCAACTCAATCGCAGCTGGTAATGAGTCACACCTATTGCTTGAGGAGTCATTATGCTGCACTGAGCTGCCTATACCACATTGCATTGAGCAGAGTTCACACCCGTGACCCAGTGGCTGGAAGTTAAGCGCCTAGACCAATAAGCAACAGTTCCACAATAACCTGGTCACTGGAGGGTTTACTGAGAATGTGCCTTATTGATTTTGGCACTTCACTTTTACCCTGAATAATATGTGTTCGGATCTCACTTCACCTGTTTCATCAATCGAGAAATGTAACCCATTGGCTTGGGTATCGGTTCAATGATGATACTCACTTACTTCAGCTTAAATAACTTGGTAGGTATCAGCAACCATCACATGATTAGTGTGACTCTTAGTCTTTTCTCCTTTGCGTTACCGGCGGAAAACAAGGCTTCAAGTTAGAGCTTTAAAGTTTCTGTAGCAGTGGTTTTATTTTTACAGGGTGGAGTTGCTAGTCTCATGGCCAACCTTCCCTCTTTGCTAAACTTATTACCAGCTAAGTGAAGTGTAGTAGTGCGTCGGCTGGGGATCGAGCCACCGACTATGCGCGTGATTGGCGAGCATCCTACCTCTGCGCCACTGAATCACGACTCATAGTCTAGCCTAGAATAAGATTTAAGCGGGAAAATACGTATTTTTGGTAAATTCTCATCAGGCTTTAAAACCACACAATCAAATATCAGTCATAGACATTTTAAACGATGTTAATCAATAGAATCAAAGAATCAGGAGAATGTAAGTAGGATAACAATTATAACAAATTGTGAAACTAAAATTAAAATATTCACCTATAGCACTGTTATGTATGAATATTATGACCTTGTAGACTACAAGCGACGGCTTTGCTCAAGATGGACCCACTGCATTTAGAGAAACTAATGGAACAGCAGCTAAAAATGATGGAAATGCTTGCTGGTCTACAGATATCACGCCCTGCCGATTCATCTACAGCCAACGACAGCATTGGTAGTAGCATCTCAGAATTCGTTTATGATCCAGATGCGAACGTGACTTTTGATACCTGGTTTCGCAGATATGAAGATCTATTTCGAGTAGACTTTGCGGATAAAGATGATGACTGGAAAGTACGGCTTCTACTTCGTAAATTGGGAGCAGATGAGCTAGATAAATATTGCAACTTAATTCTCCCACAGAAGCCCAGCGAAAGATCATTCAATGAAACTGTCCATACTCTTCGTCATCAGTTTGGTGATCAGAGATCGTTATTCAACATTCGATATCATTGCATGAAACTAGTTTTGAACGAAAATGATGATATCCATACCCAGTTGGGTATAGTCAATCGCACGTGTGAACGTTTTAAATTGAAATCACTCTCAGAAGACCAGTTCAAGGTATTGATTTTCATCTGTGGTTTGCAGTCTCCCAAATTTGCTGACATACACACACGCCTATTAAATCGTCTGGAACAAGATCCACGAATGACTTTGAAAGACGTCGGTGAAGAATATCAGCGTTTAATCAACATTCACAACGATACCGTCTTGGTGCAGTCTGGCAGCCAAAATGCAGCAGAAGTGCATGCGGTGCATCCAGTACCGTCGACATCAACCGCACCGCTTCATCCTCAGCATAAACTACCATCAGCCTGCGTAAAATCAATATTGATGAGTCACCAGTGTATATATCAAGCACAGCATGATATTGTTAATACAGTTAGCAGTACAAGTAAAGATTTAAAAAATACTTACTGTTATCCGGTGTCACCTGGATAACTATTCTAGGTTGGGATTGAAGGCCATAGGGGGGAGGGGGATTGAACAAACGTTTTCTAAACACAGAGATTAGGTTGAAAATTTCTTTTTATGACAATCGCCTTAGCTAGGCTTAGTAATCGAAGACATACAGACTACTCAGGGAATTCAAGTGGTACCGTTTATAGAAGAATCGTAAAGCCTGAATTTTTTTTATTAATCTTATGCTCCGTATCCACCACTTGGTGTGTGCCAATATGGAACTCCTGGTTGACTTTACGGCCTAAACAAACAAACTTCAGTCGAGCAGACTAGTCCGTATCATCAGATGTCACACAATAAGTGTTGGTAACTGATGTCTCATTAACAGTTGGTTGTTATTGTGTCTTAAAAATATACATTCTCTTTTACTTTTCATTTCAGGAATTATGTTGTGTTAAAGAAGAATGCGCAGATCTTAAAGTTCGTGTATATCTTCTTGAAAAAGAACTTTGTGCTAATCGTTTAACGCTAGAAAGTCGTGCTGCAGCTGAACGTGCACTACGTGCTCATCTTGATGCATTGATCACTGAACAACATAATCGATATTCGCAGACGTTATTAACAAATGATAAACAAAAAGACAATTCGACTACAACAACAACAGCAGCAGTGGGAATTAATCAACACGAAATAGTCTTATTACGTGGTCAAGTCAAGGTAAGAAGAAGGTTTATGAAGTTTCTTTTTTTGCAGTCTCATTTTATCATGAAGCGATGTTACTGCTTAGAGAAGCAGTGAAAATTGAAGGATGTTAAACAGCACTTATGTTCTAGGTTAGGATTTAATAAGTAGCGTTCAGTTAAAACTCACTTTGTTGTATTTGTGTCCTCTGAGGTGGATTGGCGTAAGCTAGCGGTAAAATTCGGGATGAGCGTTTCGTTTTACCCAACCTCAAAGCGTCAATGCAGATGAAACTAATAAAAGATGGTCAAGGGAACCTAAGGAGTCAGAGAAGGGTGCTTATTATCACCAATGATATTCCTAATTGTGGTGGACTAGATTATGCGTCAGACAGTGGGACACGAGAAGACAGGGATATCCTGGACCGACGTGAAGAATCTAGAACACCTGGATTTCGCAGATGACTTATGTTTGATGTCACACAAAATCGAAGACACTGGCTGAGGAGGCCGCTGGGTGACATCGCGCGTCAGGCCAATGCTCGAGTGGAACCCGAAAGGGAAGCGGTAAGTGGGACATCCAAGGGTGACATGGAGGACAAGAGGAGTTGAAACAGTATGGACTAAGATGGATGCAGGTGAAAAGTACAGCAGAAGACAGAAGCAGGTGGAGACGTGTAGTTGAAGCCCTATGTTCGACTAGGAACCCAAGGGAACAATAATAATAATAATAGTAAGGGGACCTAAATATAAAGGAGGAGAGAGAAAGGTAACAGTGGGCTGATCACTTTAAAGGACTGTTGAATCAATCATCATTACCTGCAGCTCGTCCAGAAATACCACCATCAGCAAGCACAGAACTGCCAGTAGACACCAATCCTTCAAAGAAAGCAGAAATCTTGAATGTAAGCAAGCTATTGAAGTCCGAAAAGGTAGCAGAATCAGATGGAGTCCCTCCTGAAGCACTGATGATATTTCTGATTATGGCGGACTGGATTTTTCAGCACACCATACGTGGGGAGCGAGCAGACAGGAATATGCAAGACCGATAAGAGGACTCTGGAGGATCTGGATTTCGCAGGTGATTTCGGCATAATGTTACACAAACTCGAAGACTCGCAGAAGGAAAACAGCAAACTCTCAGAAGAAACAGAAAGCAAAGACAGAAGATAGAGAAGACAGAGGTGACGATGATAACCAACCAACAACAATCATCATCAAAGGGAGAAATCTGAAGGAGGTTACTTCCTTCACTTATCCAGCGGAGAAGCATCATTTCAGCTACAGGCGACAGTATGGATGGGGATATCAAAGCTAGTCAGGATCGGAAAGGTAAGATACACCTTCTTCACTCTGAAATCACTTTGCAAATCTTCTGCACACAGTCAGCGTAAACGAAAAGATTCGGATTTTCAACACAAATGTGAAGTCAGTCAGTCACTTATTCTTGACACACACACGTCACGAAAAGCATTTCCAACAGTCAGCTGCAGACTTTTATCAACAAATGCCACCTCCGCTGGCTGGCTGGCTCCCTATTGAAGATCGAATGGCCGGTTGACCAGAAAGAATTAGCAACTCTGCAATGGATCAAACCAACCAAGAACCTATCGCTCAACAAATCTGCAGAAGAAAACGAGGATGGATTAGGCACACGTCACTGAAAAGACAGTCTAATGACAACGAGCAGCAGGCCATCACTTGAGTGGAACTCGAATGGGAAACGACGAGTTGAGCTGTGGTCGGTGGGTGGCATGTTGGAGGTTGTGAGGAGGAGATGAGAGGCTATGGGCAATCGTGGACCCAACTAAAGAGGACAGCAGAAAGTGGGATAAAGTAGAGAGGTGCTGTTGAATCGTTATATTTCATTCGGAACACTAGGGAACAATAATAATACTTTCGTCGTATTCAACCCTAGAACGTCGTCGGGGTGTCCTTACAAGAGTATCGAGCATTTCGGTTCAACATGAATCAATCAGTTAGTTTTTTGGGATGTGATTTGTCTCAATTTTGATCACGAGCTGACATCATTTACGGAACCACCGGAAAACCAGGGAGTACTGGTCAGTTGCGTCGTCCTAGTTCGGAACTCTTCAGCAGTAAATATTCACCAGGGTTCGGACAAAGGACGCTACGGTTACGACTTTGTAGAAGTTGGAATTCATCAGCCATTGTGTTGGGTCCCAGTGACTGGATGGTCTGTTAGCTTTTCTTATGACTGGGAGGTCCTGGTGTCGAACCCTGGTAGTGTTGTACAAATGAAGGGTCCCAAACTAGGATAAAACAGCTGTTCAGTACTCCCCGGTTTTTCAGTTTTTCTGTAACTGGTTTCAGCTCGTTATCAAATAGGTCAATTGGAGATTCAAGATCACTTCAATAAATAAAAGCACAATTAGTGGCTTTTGAGGTTTAGCAGCCCAGCCTAAAGGGTAATTAACGTTTTAGCGTGTAAAACGAAGGGTGCTGGGTTCAGGTCTTAGGGGAGATACTGTCACTCTCTTCAGGGACGCAACTAAATCCAGATGACGAGCCTTGAATAGGATGAGGTGCATATCCTAGATTCTACTTCTAGCCTTTATCAATCAAATGACTAACATCTGGTTGACGTCAAAGTGTTATCAAAGTGTCTGTGTACTTGGAGACGACATATCAACAGAGACTGGATATTTTAGTCGAATAATATTTGAAATAATATTCCTTTAAATTTATTTATTTTATTCATAACTTGATAACAGAAAGAAAAAGATAGTACTTGCTTAGTTTCAATTTCAGTTACGGATTGAAATCAGTTAGGTAGCCACTGAAAACCAACATGGAGTGCTAGACAGCTGTTTCGTCCCAATCTGGGAGTCTTCATCAGTACTCACCTACGTGGGTTCGAACCTAGGATCTCCCAGTTTTAATGAAAGCTCTTAGACATTTCAGCCACTGGGACTTGATTCAATAGCCAAGGAATTCTAACTCCTACCAGTTTGTGATTTTTTAGCGTGATCATCAGCCAATACCATCGGCGGTAAGTATTCGTCCTCACTCCCGACCGGGTGAACTCTAGTCATGATTTCTCAGTAGAACTCTAGGCAACTTCGTCCTGTGACCAGTTACTAGTTTGAGCATCAGATTAATTCTTAAGATATAAGTTAGTTTTCAGGGCTCGAATCCCGGTGGATGCATAATGCTGATGAGTCCTAAACTAGGAAGAAACAGCTGTACAGGACTCCGCAGTCTTCATTGGTGGTTCTCTAACTGACATCGATACGTCATCAAACTTGAAACAACTCAAATCTCTGCAAACTAACTGTTGACAGTATTTGCTTTTTCAAATTATGCATATGGTTGAAATTCAATGAATTAGTCTGCGCTCATATACAATTAAAATTTATCATATATGCATACGTATATATATATATATATGAATGGAGTGTTGTTGTTTGTGGAGGTGATAGGGAAAAACAGTCGGTGAATGTCATTCCGTGTGTATTGATTGATACAAACTGAAACAAGGGAAAAGAAAAGTTGTACAACATTGATTTTCACTTTTACTATCACATCAGCGTCTACTGATTCGCTGGAGGGTGGGGAGAGGTGGGTGTTTGGTTGGATGGATATTTACTAGATTCACTCAGTCAGTCTGAAAATAAATAAACAAACAAGCATAGCATAGTGTAGTGTAGTTGAGCATGCTGTGGTTTATTTCTGTTCTTGTAAATCACGCAATCAGAATATATATTAACTTTCAACTTTCTGTTATATATAACAGAAAGTTAAGGAGTACTTTATAAGTTTGTCTAAATCAATTGTTGTAGATTAATAACTATTAGAAATCGATCGTATGGTCAAGTTAAACTCTAAGTACCAATGAAGTGTGACTCCTCACCAATGACCTTGAAAAGTTCAATGAACAAGTTAGGGAAATACTATAGTCATGAATAAAATATGCTTAATGAAGTGTTATGATATTTAAACGGGATACCTGGTAAGTTTCAGGTTATATTTGAGAAATATTAGGTGTTAAGGTTTAAGCTAAGGACAGGTTATGGCTAGGCTAACCTAAAAGGGGTCACTCCGAGATAGATTAGCTTTAGTTTCGCGATATTTTCACGTTAGAGTTATTGTTATGGTTAGAAGACCTAGGATAAGTACATGCATAGAATGTGGTTAAATTGCCCTGGTGAAATTCCAATCCAAAATTAAGAGACATTTTTGTCACACGTGAGAGAAAGGTATCCTGTGTAGAAATTGTTATTATTTTCATGAGTTTATGTATTTTCTACGTAAAAATTGCCTTTATCAGATGATTGGTGCGTTCCAGGTCATTTGTCCTTTGGTACATACTGATGCTGAAAGTTTAATTTCGCCGATCGCATTATTATTATCATTATCATTACTACTTTAAAAGGGAAATAATGCCCGTTTGATTAATGGACTTTTAGTAAGAAGTCGTGACTATTGGGGTTTGTCATATTGAGTGTGACGAACGACAGATACTTATAGATGACACTCGGGACCCTAAGAATCAATGGCTGGAGACAATAGGTGACATGGCTCAAAATCGTTGTCAATGGCATACGCAGATGTATTCAGTCTCTTTAACCTTCATACTCCTTTCTACCATTACTCATTCTGTTTCACTCTTATACTTGTCAAAACTCCATTGATTCTCTTCACTCATTTTCTTGTCTACGTTTGTGTGCTATTTGGAACGTGGCAACTGGAACTGCTGCACTTCGGTGCCAAGTTCTATGTTGAATCCAGACAGACAGACAGATAGATGACACTAGTTGGTTTATTATTATTATTATCATTGTTCCCTTGTGTTCCTAGTGGAACATAGGGCTTCAACTACACCTCTCCACTTGCTTCTGTCTTCTGCTGTACTTTTCACCTGCATCCATGTTAGTCCATACTGTTTCAACTCCTCTTCACACGATCTCCTCCATGTCACCCTTGGACGTCCCACTTGCCGCTTCCCTTTCGGGTTCCACTCGAGCATTGGCCTGACGCGCGATGTCACCTAGCGGCCTCCTCAGCGAGTGTCCAATCCATCTCCA